GGCAGCCTTTAAAAATAATCACATTTCAGTTGCTGGGATAAAGCACAATGCGAATACTCCCTGTTGCTCAGTAGGTAAATATCTCACATGTTTGAGTCAGTTTAGGAAGGGCAAAATAGTTCTGCACACAGAGCGGGCTAGGTAGGAATGAAGAAAAGATGCTATCTGCTTTTTCAGATGAAAGAAGAGACCAGAACTACAAATGGTGCCTGAAGAACACAAACATTCACTAGCGGATGTCTTTATGCCTATATGTCACACAAGACTAAGTGCTTGTTCATGCTTTGGGTATGAACTTTGCTAGGTACATTGTGAAATGTTTAAGCAGATGAGTACTTCATGTTTTTCTATGTTGCATTCACAAAACGGGAACTAACTGATCTGTATTTTATAGGTTGTGCCTGTGGTTTGTTTCTCTGTTCAAATTACAAGGCTTAGTGGAAATTCAGGTTACCAGCCTTAACTTGCTTAAATGAATCCTGCCAACGTTGCAGCATGTGTGGAATTTTAAGAGGGACAATTTTACTTGCCTGAACATCTACAACCTTATGTTAAGAATATATGTAAACCGTAGCTTGGCGAGAATATGAGTTATTCAGTATGGAGAACCTTCTGCAGGAGAGAACTCAGATCGCAGATCAGTTGAAGCTTCTGGAGCACGGAGCTAGGAACGTGGGTGAGAAGAGTATTGGAAAAATATTTTTTGAGATGAAGGCATTGGAGAAGGGTTTTGGTAGTTGTGGGATGGGGTGGGGCATAAGCAGGTAATGTTGTGTCGCTGAATAGAATAACAAGTTTGTGCACCATATGGGTAAACCTAAGTGAGCAGTCAGGTAGGTTGATAGCATTATAGTCAGAGCTACGCAAGTACTTTTACAAATTTGGTTGTAGTTCCTTTTTCTTCCTTATAATAATAAATAATCCTCGCATTTGATATAGTGCCTTATAGTGACTCCATTCTCGCCCGACTCCATTGGCTCCCTATCCTTCAGAGGATCCAGTTCAAGATCCTGGTCCTCACCTACAAAGCCCTCCATGGCCTCACTCCACCCTACCTCTGCGACCTCCTAATCCCCTACCAACCGCCCGATCCCTCCGCTCAGCCGGCTCTGGCCTTCTCCACGTCCCCCGACCCACCCACCCCACCATTTGCCGGAGAGCCTTCAGCCACTCTGCCCCCAACCTCTAGGATTCCATCCTCCAATCACTCCGCCTCGCCTCCTCCTTAGCCTCCTTCAAGTCCTGCCTCAAGACCCTCCTCTTCGACCATGCCATCGGCCACTCCCCCTCCCCTCCTTACCCCCCCAACCCCAGCTTCGGTCTGAAATGCTGTTCTCTGTCCAGCGCCTTGGGACATCCTCCCGACGTGAAAGGCGCTATACAAATGTAATCTTGTTGTTGTTATCACGTCTTCAAGACGTCTCAAAGCGCTTCACAGAACATACTGTAAAGTGAATTGACTGTATATTTTCTGGGCGAAACACGGCAGCCAATTGCGCACAGCAGTGTCCCACAAACAGTTGTGGAGGGAGTTCCAGAGATTAGAGGTATAGTGGCTAAAGGCTCAGCAACCAATGGTGGTGCAGAGGTGGTTGAACATGTGTAGTAAACCTAATTTATTTATTATTATTAAATGATAGATAAATGATAATAAATGATAAATAATAGTTCATCCTTCTCAAATAAATGAATCGATTTTGACCTAGTTTTGTTTCCAAAGCAATAACTGTTCAGCCTTTATTTTCTCCTGAAGACTATGATTGTAGAGTCCATGATGGTTATTCTACACTTTTGAGGTTACACAGGATTGCCAGGAACCTGGAGGGCATGAAGTTTGGAAATAGAATGCCTTATTAAAAACCGTGGTTCAAACAGAGCCAAATAACCTTTAAAAAGGGAATTAAAACAGTGTTTGAAAAGGAGAAATGTAAAAGTGGATGGGGAAAAGACATGGGAGTGGAATTAAATAGATGGCTGGTATGATGGCCTTCCTTGCTGAAACATTATAAGTTTTGTTCTAAAGGCCTAGTTCTTGAGCAGGTTTACTGGATTGGATTGTGATCTCAATTAGGAACACTTGCTGAATTTATTGCCTCTGAGCTCAGCATTACTGAAGCCAATTGTAGAACTTTATTGCTGCAACAAATTAAATGTACAGACATTTTGACATGGGCTCTTCCTTGTGGTGGATTTTTATGCCGTGCGGGGTTTGCCAACTAAGCCATTGCAGGTATTTGTCCTCGGGTATTTTCAAACATCGACAGCAATATTATTCCAGTAAATTTTTGGGGGGAGCACACATGAAAGATTCCTTGGCAGAAATGCTATGCTAACGAGTGATGGGATGAGAGTCTGCACTGCAGTACTCCTTGTGCTGAGCGCCTGACTTCTGCCATGCTTGAACAACTGCCAAGGAAGGCACTTCTGCACAAGGTTAAAAATAATAACAGTATAGGTAGGGCAGTGTTAACAGTGACATCTGGACGCTGAGATAGCATTGCTTTGTGATAACAAGTCTTTGCTTCCTCTCAGTGCACAGAAAGATATAAATGCATGCTAAGTGATCTGATGGAATTGCAGGCTCAGTGATCTGAAGCAAAGGGATTGCTAAGGATACAGATGAAACTGAGGTGGATGAAAATATCCACTAGCCATAAGTACTTTACCTATTTCTGGCTTAGGTAACTCTGAATGGGTAACTGTGGAAATATTACAGGAATAAAACTTAAAATGGTTATTTATAATGCTGGAATACCTGCTTTGGATCCTAGACTACATTTTAAAATCGATATTCCAAAATGTAAAATCTGGTCCTTTTGTCAAACGTATTTGACCAGAATAAAATCTTTATATAGCAGAGGTGCATCTTTGTGCAGCGGCTGTTTGGAGGGCTGCCCCCAGTGGCCACAGTTCTCTCCTCCATTTCATTCCAGGTCTTAAACCTATGACAATTTCAATCTTGGTGCTTTTAAAATTTTAATTTTATTATGTGTGAATGGCAAAATGCGAGTTTGAAAACTGTTTTTTTGACATCCGTGCATGGAATATACATTGATAGAAGGGAGCAAAGGAGTTGAGGCATACCTTCCTCTTAATATAGAGTCACTACAATGTATAGTAAATCCTTCATTTTACAGTAAATCCTGTGAAGCATTTCAGATGTCGACCTGGCATGAATAGTGCTATTATCAAGGATGTATAGTATTGTTAAATTTGCTGCAGAACGTTTTGGAAAACCCTTTAAGTTTATCAAATGTTATGATAATACATTGCGAGGAGATGCTGGCCTTCCTCGAGTCCAAAATCGAGGGAATCCGCTCAACTGCCTCTGCCCTCTCTACTGCCACCCACTCCTCACCTCATGCTCTGGCCCCTACCTATTCCTCCCTCCACACCTTCTCCCACTTCCTTTGTCTTTGTTGTGTGTTGCTTTTGACCTGTGGTATGTTTGTGCAGTTTTTCCATGTTAAATCTTCAGATTCAGGTTTGACCCTGGACAAGATCTTGCATTTACTTTTACCGTGCTCTTTCTTTCCTAGACACCACAGACAGCCACCATGTCAACCCGAAAGAAGATGATTAAGACCAAGAAGCGTGCTATGCGAGCAACCTCCAATGTATTTGCTATGTTTGATCAGTCGCAGATTCAGGAATTTAAGGAGGCCTTTAACATGATTGATCAAAACCGTGATGGTTTTATTGACAAAGAAGACTTGCACGACATGTTGGCTTCACTTGGTAATGTGGCATTTTAAGTTGAAATTTGGCTTTAATTTCTATGATTCTTAGAAGACGCCTGTGCTATGTTGCCTAAAATGTTAGGTGTGACTCGAATTGAATTGTTTCATATCACATCACATATGTTACAACTCCAACCCCAGGGTTGAGTAAGAGTTTACGCATAAAATGGCTGCCCCTCCTTTCCTTTTCCAGATTCAGTGTTGTACAAAATATCTTGTGGTGAAACTTTACAAAGAGTTAGACTGATACAGCCTAGAAACATTCAGCCCAACTAATCCGTGCTGGTGTTTTTACTCCACATGAGCCCCTGTCAATCCTATTCCCCTTTTCCTTTCTCCCTTAGATATGCATCATCTATTAATGCTATTTGGTTTGACCATAGCTTCCAGCAGCGTTCAACATTCCTACCACCCTTGGTGTGAAGAAGTTCCTCCTAAACTCCCTTTTAGATGTATTATTAGTTATCATTTGGAATCTTTGTGGTGTGCATTTGCTCCCAGTATTGTTAATTATGCACTTGACAGCCAAAACCCTTAGCTTTATCATGAAACTCAGCTCGAGCTAACCCTGGAGTTATCGTGGTAATTTTGCCCTCTTTACTTTTGAAACAAATTGTCAAACAATCCAGCACAATTTTACTTTAGATAATTGCTTCCTGAGTTTCATGTGGGGAAGTTTCTATAGTAACCAGCACTAAACCATAAGGTTTGGGACTGGAACTTGTATCTGATGCTAATAGCTATTTTCAGTCGGGGAGCAGTTCGGAGTGCTACAGTTTCATCCAGGACTCTCATGTCTGTTTTGGTCGAACTTGTGCATGTTGAGTCCGAATGGGATCAGCTGTGATGACCTTCACTGTAGTTTAGCCAGCTGATACCACATAGCCTAGAAAACTAGAAAAGAATCATGCTGTAGGGCATCCAGTACCTGTAACTATAATCTCTGATAGAGTCTGCTCAGGAGTGGAGGTAATTGTTCCAAAAAGCTGAACACTGCAGGGTGTTTTACTGAAGTCCATGGCTGGCACAAGTCTGCAGGTAGTGATGGTGAATCACCTTTAGCGACTTATATAGAGGTAGAGTGGAGAAAAAAAGCTTTCAGGCATCTTACTGAATCTTCAGCTGCTCGCTGCCACTTTTTTTGCCAAACTACACATCCCTTAAAAGCAAAAGCAAATCAATAGGTTGTAACACAGGTTGGGACTTTGGGGGTGGGAGTTCTGCTGTAAATTGTACATTAAGCAAGAAATTGATTGGATGTTTTAACTCTTATCTAGGAAAGAACCCAACTGATGACTATTTAGAGTCAATGATGAATGAAGCCCCAGGCCCCATCAACTTCACAATGTTCTTGACAATGTTTGGTGAAAAATTGAATGGTACAGACCCAGAGGATGTAATCAGAAATGCATTTGCTTGCTTTGATGAAGAAGGAACAGGTAAGGAGAAAAAATGCTTCAAGCACTAGGTGGGGACAGGTTGGGGATGATGGAGATGACTCTTCCTCTTGATACAGGGATCCATTAGAAGGGATGTAGCCTAAAAACCAGAGCCAAAGAAGATGGATCTGAGAGTAAACCATTTGTCACACAGAGGCTTGTTATGATGTAGAATGCTGTGTCTCAGAAAGCTGTAGAGGTGAAAATGGGATTGTTTGAAAGAAAGATGGATAGTTACTTGGGTAGTAGAGTTATAAAGCAGTATGCCACAAGGGCTGGGGCATTGGGATTAAAAGATCTACCAGAAAGTGGAGTCCTGTAGCTCAGTGGTTAGAGTATTTGCCTAGCAAGCGGGAGACCTGGGTTTGATTCCCAGCAAGGCGAAACCTTGGGCAAGTTTCCTTACTCCACATGCCTGATAATAATCCCTCAAGAAACCCCCACCCCCAAAAATAAATTGGTCACTTCAATCCAAGACTGTTTGCTGTACACAATTGGCTGCCGCATTTCACCAAAAAAATAGTGAATTTCACTTTACAGTATATTCTGTGAAGCTCTTTAAGACACCTAGAAGATGTGAAAAGCGCTATATCAAATGCAAGGATTAATATATATTACCAAGATCAAGTAAACTGGTGAAAGAGGCTCATTGAGCTGAATGGCCTCCTGTTCCAATTTTTTAATTAATATAGGATGTTGGTTTTGTTTAGTTTCTCTAAAAGCATTTGTTTTATTTGTTGATTCTCAATACCAGGCTATATCCAGGAAGACTACCTAAGAGAGCTGCTGACGACAATGGGAGACCGGTTTACCGAGGAGGAAGTGGATGAACTTTTCCGGGAAGCGCCAATTAATCAGCAGAATAATTTCGACTATAATGAGTTTACTCGTATACTCAAACATGGTGCAAGGGACAAAGATGATTAATGGAATGCCAGCTATACAAAAAAAATCCCTTTTGTTCACTCTTATTTTAAAATTTCTACCGAATAGAACATCTTTGCATGCCTCGGCTCTAAAATAACCATTGTTTTTCATTATTTATTTTTTTCTGTCATGTTGGCACATTTTGCACACATTTGAACTGTATGAAAAAGCAGTGTATAGTGTCTGGCAAGGAATGAAATAAGTATGGAAATGGATTGCTTGATAAAACGCCTTCAATTCCTTTTATAAGTAAAACAAACTTGTTTTTAAGTTAAAAGGATTGCTAGTATTATCTTACTGATGCAACTACTAATGTGGGGGGTGGGGGGAAGAGAGCACAGATTCCAGACTCCAATAATCTACTCTGAATCGGCATATCTGGTTTGGGTCCCATTTTTAAAAAAATACAAATGAAAAATTTTTAATATGCAAATTAACTTCAATTAGTGAAGGTGTGTGCTATAAAAGAAATTTTTGTGCAATGACATTTGATGATGACACTGTTAACACACAATTTGAGTCCCAAGACAAGCTAATATTTGAATTTGCTTGTCTTCATCGTTAGTTCTCTGAACTGCTCTATCCGTTTTTTTGAGTATTGGGAGTGACAGGTGATCAGAATGTGCTTTGGCAGTGTTTCTGGATGAAATTAAAGAGAGCATTTAGAATATGGATTTGAGAAGAGTAGCCAAGTTTCTTGAAGGTTCTTCAAGGATTTCAAAAACAGCTCAAAAGAACGTTCATGTTTTTAATGTTCAGATTTGATCCTGTGAGACTTGAGTTCTGTGTTTTTTTTAAAATTCTGTCTAAACTGAGCACCAAAGTGTCCCAAGTAACTTTCTGCAGACTGGTATGCAGACTTTTTCTGGCTTATTTTTGATCATGTTTCATTGTGAACACCCTTCTTATTAAAAGCTTGACTTGAAGTCGAGAATAAAAGAATGAGTCCTGGACTCAAACTCAGTTTTATTTCTTCTGCTGTGTATTTTAGACCTGACTTTGGTGGCAGCATTGCAATCATAGAAATATACAGCACAGGACGAGATCATTCAGCCCATCGTGTCTGTGCTGGCTCTTAAAACAGCTATCCAAATCAATTTCACTCCCCGTAGCCCTGCAAACTTGTCCTCCCCAAATAATTATCTACTCTCTTAAAAGTTGTTATGGAATCGGCGTCCACTACCCTTTCAGGCAATGCATTCGAGATCCAAGCAACACACTTATATAATAAAAAAGGAGGCGATTGGAACCTACTACCACCATCTCAATATTGTACTCTAAAGTTGACAGCCCTTGAAACGGCAGATAAATGTTCTGGTGAGATTCACCACCACTTTTATGTCAGGAAGCTGACATAAAAAGGTTTTGTCACAGTTTCCTTGCATGGATGGACATGAATTGAAAGTCTGCGGCCAGAAAAGTCAGGTGTGAGATTTGGAATCACTAACTAGGCTGTGTTTCATGTTCCATTGCTAAATAAAGGGAGAGAAAACAAGATCCCAGTACCAACGGCCTCAGTGTAGTTCAGAGCTAGTTCTATTTGAATTCCAGAAATAACCATTCATCAAAGTTGTACTGAGCCTACAAAATTGAAAGCTTTTGATTTCAAGCTCTTGGTATGATCTGCGAAGGAGGAAGGATAGCAGTTGCTCACAATAAGCATGTAGGTTGAGAGTGGTAGAGATTGAGGATTATTGCTGTGGACTATTTCCTTCCATTGCCACTGAAACACCTGATAATAACGACACACTAAAGGGGAAAGAGGAAGGCCATTTGGTCCATTGTGTCTTTCTTGACTCCACTAAGAAAATCCTTTCCCATTTCCTTGTCTTTTCCCCATACCCTGTAGCTAACGCTGAAGAGATTTGTCTAGTTCCCTCTTGAAGGCGAATCTGGATTTTGCCTCAACCACTGTTCTGCAGGGCATTCTGTATCCTAACAGTTGGTGGTTTTGAAAAAAAGTACACAAGTCTGGTATTGAAATATAAATACTTAAAAGGAAGGACCGGCAAGCTTGTTGAGAAAATGATAAAATAAATAAGTGGTATGGCAATAAAATTATCCCTGATGTGACCCGGTGCCAAAATACAAATGCAGAATATTACGGAAGGCAAGTCCTGGAATTGAAAGCACTCCCTCGTATTTAGACCTCTTATCATTAACAAACTGAAATCCAGCTGCAGAAATCGGTGGTCTTCAGAAATATTCTGTCAGAGAACATCAATACATTAGAATTCATTAGAATATACAGTACAAAAACAGGCTATTTGGCCTAACTGGTCTATGCCGGTGTTTATGTCCACATGAGCCTCATCCTGCCCTTCCTCAACTAAGCCTTCAAGCATAAACTTCTAAAAGGTTATCAAGTACCTATCTAAGCCAACATAACCTCATGAAGATTAAATATTTTATAGTTTTTGCATTGTGTGTGTTGCTTGATATTTAACCCTTGTAATCCAACCTAAAAGGAGCATACTGGATTTACGGATGTAAATTTTTATAAAATCTATTCTCGTTGATCAGCATTGTTCACAATTGAACATACTGTTTATCAAAAAGCAAATATAAAGAGCGTGACAATGTTGGAAGGTATTAACATCCTCCTTCACAGAATACTAGAGAAGATATAGCAAATTAGAGGTGGGAGGAGGAGGGAGAAATAATTTGTCTTGTGATAATTATATGTAACAAACAATTTTGCCACAGTGCAAATTTTAGTTCATTACATTTAATTGCCTAGCAAGTATATCACTTATACTACCCTACTCCTATAGGATATAGATGTACAATTAATGAACCTCAAGTGAGACCAAAGTAAGAATTCTTCAACCTCTTCTCTCTCTCCTCTCTTCCTCCCCCCCCCAACCCCTTCCCTCGAACAAACACAATAAAAAACTTCTGTTATTAACTCCTTCACAACAGAGTATCTGGTTACGAATTGGAGGTCATGGGTACTTGTGCTTAATATAGAGCCTGTACAAGCGCAAAGTTTCTGTTGCTGGAAGAGGGGACTTGTGGAGTGAAGAAAGCTAAAGCCTTTAACGATGTTGGAATGGATGAATATGGTGTTTTCACAAGATTGGTTTGGATAAAGAAGACTGGTTCAGCCCTACAGAATACCCACCCTACTGTTCTTCCATCTCAGCATTAACATGCTTTTTAATTTTTTATTTGATCAACTTTGGGAATCATAATTATGCAGAACTTTCCCAAAGAAATAGAAATTAGTATATCTATGGCATTGTTTTATATATATATATAATCAGAATGTCTGGCTTCTAAAGTGAATAAAATTGGGACAAAGAAAATCTGTTCCATAATCTTAACACAGTAATTGAAATGAACCAGTGTTTCTAATGGGAATGTGGGGTTTACTCTGGCAATTGTCTTTCCTATTTCCTGAAGATACTGACTCACCCATATCAAGGATTATTATAACTAACACCTCTCCAAAATTCATCTATATCAAATGCAAGGATTATTATTATTATTATTATCTATGAATGAACAAAGACTGATGGCTGGTTATTTGACTATGAGGAGCATCAAAGCTATTTCTGTCCTTGTTCTCACTGAATGTCCACATTATACACTGAAGTGCCACTGGATGTCTTATCCCTGCTATCTCAAAGGAATGAATTATAATCCAATTTGTGTCCTAACTCAGAAATAGTTTTTCACTCAAAATCCCTTTAGTGGGGAAAGAAAGCAAAATACTGCAGAAGCTTGAAATCTAAAAATGAAAACAGAATACGCTGGGAATACTCAGGTCAGGCAGCATTTATGGAGCGAGGAAAGTGAGTTAACTTTTCAAGTCGATGATCTTTTGTCAGAACATGTAGTGGAAACATCTTTGTCTTGACTGAAAGACTATTCTGTCTCCAAATGTTAGTACGATTGGGTATCATAGTCAGACTTGTGATACTTTGAACTATGACAGATAATTTAAGATTTTAGTGTGTCATGCTATGGAGTGGCTCTGCATTCCTGGAGGCAGCTAATGCAGCAGATTTCTTTTTGTATGCTATGAGGTGGAATCCACAGCACTCAAGAGGCCTCTATATGTGTGCACAAACTCATCTGGTTAAAGTTATGGCATTTCTTGTTTTCCAAGCTTGCTTCGTTTTTTAGCCATGTCTGGCAGCTGGGAGGGGAAAACCACTTCAGGACACATGCCTTTGTTGGGACCATAAACGCTACCTCATTTACATCACAAAATTGCCTTGGAGGATCACTGCAATCAAAACATGGCATTTGTACATATTTTCTTGCCCAAGATTCCACCTTGGTGTAGTATATATTACTGGGGGTTATCATGTAGTGTCCACTAGAGGGAGCTTTTCATCATGATTGGTTTCCTTTTCTGTTTATTTAATAGATAGATGGATGCAATGTTGTGACAGTTGATGCAAGGTTGCCTATACCACAGTTATTACTGCTATTTGTACGTAGAAATGTATATTAAACATTACACTGGCCTCAGATTCAATATCCTATATGGGATGGTACATGAGAGCAATGGGCTGCTCTACGAGAAAGAAAAGATGCATCTCCTACAGACTGATTATAAAGGATCTGTTTCAGGGTGTCAGCCTGGCTCAGTTAATAGTGGTCTTGCCTTGTTAGTCAGAGCGTGGGTTCCAGCCTCACAACAGACCTTTAAACTCATATAGGCTGACACTTCAGTGGAGTGCTGGGGATGCACTGCATTGTGGGTGAGCTATTCTTTGGATGAAATATTACCCAAAGTCTTGTCTGCCTGTTCAGATGGATGTTAAAGATTCCATAGCTTCTACTTGGAAAAACTAAGGTAGTTTCTCCCACTGTCCTGCCAAGAATTCTGCAGATAAAAGTGGTCATTCACTACATGGCTGTTTATGGGACATTGCTGTGCATAAATTGACTGACACATGTACTGACAAATACACAGCCACTACACTTGACAGTAAATCCTGTGAAGCGCTTTGAGATATCCTCCTGACGTGAAAGGCGCTATCTCAAATGCAAGGATTAATTTTGTATCTGAGAGCAGATCTTTTTCTTACTCTCGCCTCTTTAGCTGGGAGTAGTGTAGGCCAGGATATCAAACTCATTCAGAGCCAGATGAGCATAAAACATTGCATGTTGGTTACATTGAAATTTCTACTGCTTATGGCACCAATTCTACGGTTTACTGCAGCACTGCAAGACTAGGCCCAAATGTTACATTTGCAATAGACTATTGTTGACTAATTACTATCATAGAGCTTATGGGGGACTGAGGAGGGATTATACCACTGAAAGATGGTGAAAAATATCTTCTTGGAAGGACGTGTGCATCATGACCAGCAGTTAAAGATCTGGGATCAAATGTTGACGGCGACCAGCTTGCTTCAGTCCAAGGTATTAACTCCCTTGTCATGCCTAAATTCAACGTTTTTCAGTTAAACGCAAGCTTACACAATGAATACGCTCGCATTTTATTATAATAATAATCCTTGCATTTTGATATAGCGCTTTTCACGTCTTCTAGACGTCTCAAAGTGCTTTACAGAATATGCTGTAAAGTGAATTGACCGTATATTTGTGGGCAAAACACGGCAGCCAATTGCGCACAGCAGTGTCCCACAAACAGTCGTTAATTGAAGTGACTAATTTATTATTATTTTTTTTCTTGAGAAATTATTATCAGGCATGTGGAGTAACGAAACTTGCCCAAGGTTTCGCTCTGCTGGGAATTAAACCCAGGTCTCTCGCTTGCGAGGCAAGTCTCTAACCACTGAGCTGCAGGACTCCTGAATAGTCTTTTGGTGAAGAGCAAGTCTTTAACAGGAGCAAAGGGACCAAATAAAAGTTTTAAGAGATGCCTCACTTTTTGGAATTGTGTTTATGCTAAAGTATTCCATTCATAGGATTAAGTTGTGTTATAAAAATAAACAGCGCAGTAAATTTAGCCCATGTAA